TAAGTGAAAAAAAGATATTGAGGGGAAAATGTGATTAATGCAATCTAAATATAAAAGTGTCATTAACACATAAAGTAAAAATGAGAGCTAAAGAGATCTTAGAGGTTTTCTTACTATTTGTTTTTTTTTAAGTCAAGCCTTTATTTTCTTTCCATTACTTTTCCCTTCCTCTCTCAAATGAAAGGGAAAGAAATAAACCTTGTAACAAATAAGCAAAACTAATTTCCCCACTGACCACATCTCAAAATGTGTCTCATTCTACAGTTTGTATACACCACCTGTCAGATGATGACATCATCAGTCCACTGGAACGATGGTTGGTTACTGTAGTAGAGTTCTTATGTCTTTCAAAGCTATCTTTATAATGTCATTATTGTCTAAATCATTCTCCTGCTTCTACTCAGTTCATACAAGTCTTCCCAGGTTACTCTGAAACCATCCCCTTCATGTCTTTGAACATAAAAATATTCCATTCATGTACCAGAATTTGTTCTGCTGTTCTCTTCACAAGCAGCTATCACTACAAAAACAGCTGATATACGTCTGTGTGTATATGTATATGTGTATATATATATATATATATATATATATATATATTTTTTTTAAACATAAGAGGGTGCTTTCCACTTTCTTTGACCTTTTTGAGGCTTATGCCTAGTAGTGGTATTGTTGAGTCTAAGAGTATGAATAGTTGAATGACTTTTTGGAGTATAGTCTTACAAATCATCTAATTTAATACCATTTTTTAGATGAGGATACTGAGGCCTAGAAAGGTTAAATGACTTAACCACTTAACAGAGCCTAGGATTCCAAATCAGTTTTTTTCCACTGAACCACTCTGCTTCATCAGGACTTCTTAATTAAGGAATAGCCCTTGCTCAGCTTCATGGACTGGAATTCTATGATCCAGCAACTAGCTCACAGTGTTTAATGATGGGCATGCCTTCAGTGAGCTGTATAACCTTAGAAATGTCAATGTAACTCCTTTGTGCCTCATACGCCAAGATACACTTGGGATAAAGTGAAACAGATATGAAAACCCTCTCAAAGATTATTAATTTATAGATATGGTATTGGTAAGAGGCTGTCAGAACCAAGTGGTGGTGGTCAGGAAAGAGGTTAATCTTTTTTTTTTGTTTTTGGTGAGGCAATTGGGGTTAAGTGACTAGCCTAGAGTCACAGAGCTAGTGTTAATTGTCTGTGGTCAAATTTGAACTCAGGTCCTCCTGACTCCAGGGTCAGTGCTGTATCCACTGCGCCACCTAGCTGCCCTTGAAAGAGGTTAATCTTAAGGATCACAAAAAAAAAAAAAAAAAAAGAGGGACATCCTTGGCATAGAAAAGGTAGAAAATGATAGAGGATGTCGTAGGCAGGAAGAATGACATATGTAAAGACTCAGGTGGGTTGTAGATGGCTGGTGATGATGGTGGTGGTTGTCCTTTGTTCTCAAAGAGGACCAAAATGACATGTATGTGTAATATGTGGCTGATCAGACCAATATGAGCTCAGAATGTTCTACAAGTTGGGCACAATAGTCCACGTGAACATTTGGGGTGGATTTTCTAAATTCGCAAATTCTGGGTTTCCTTTGAGCTGTTTCAATTCTGCTTTGCTTATAGAGCACATCCCCTTCTCTGATGTGGGCATGCTCTGCTGAGCAGTCCTGTGCCAGTGTCTCCCACATCACACAATCAATTCCAAAGTTCTTTTTTTTTTTCTTTCCCTTTTAAGGCTGTTGGGGTTAAGTGACTTGCCCAGGGTCACACAGCTAGTAAGTGTTATGTGTCTGAAGCTGGATTTGAACTCAGGTCGTCTTGACTCCAGGGCCGTTGCTCTATCCACTGTGCAACCTAGCTGCCCCCTAATTCCAGAGTTCTTAAGAGAGATCTTGATCTTTGTATTACTTCTTCTGACCACCATGTGAATGCTTGTCCTGTGTGTTCTCCATAAAAGAGTCTTTTTTGGCAAGCATATGTTTTGCATTCGAACAAAGTGGCCAGCTCATTGGAGTTGCACTCTCTGAAGTAGAGTTTGAATGCTTGGCAGTTTAGCTTCAGAAAGGACCTCAGCATCTGGTATTTTATCCTGCCAGGTGATCTTCAGAATCTTCCTAAGACATTCAAATGGAAGTGATTCAGTTTCCTGGCATGGCACTGTCCAGGTTTCACAGGCATACAACAATGAGGTCAGCACAATGGCTCTGTAGACCTTCAGTTTGGTACTGAGTCTAATAGCTCTTCTCTGTCATACATTCCTTTGTAGCCTCCCAAACACTAAGCTAGCCTCTGGCACTGCATGTGTCAACCTCGTTATCACTGTGTACATCCCTGGAAAGTAGACTACCAAAGTAACTTATCCACAGCATTCAAAACTTCTCCATTTGTTGTAGCTGATGGTTCTACATATGGATGATGTGGTACTGGCTGGTGGAGCACTTTGGTTTTCTTGGTGTTAATTGTTAGGCCAAAATTAGCAAAGCAGCAGAGAATTGACCCATACTTTGTTGCATCTCAGCTTCAGAGGCTGCATTGACTGCACAATCATCTGCAAACAGAAAATCATGCACCAACGCTCCCTTCACTTTGGTCTTGGCTTGTAGCTTTTTCAAGTTGAAGAATTTACCATCAGTGTGACAGCTGACCTTCATGCCATGTTCATCTTTATTGAAAGCATTTGACAACATGGCTGCAAACATCATGCTAAAAAGCATGGGAGCAAGCACACAGCTTTGCTTCACTCCATTATCCAGAACCTCGGCAAGCATGCCATCATGAAATTGATGTACAACGCTGATGAACTTCTCCAGGTAATCAAATTTTGACAATTTTCCATAAGCCCTCCTTACTGATAGTATCAAAGGCCTTGGTCAGATCTACAAATGTGTATAGACGTCCATTCTACTCGTGGCATTTCTCCTGGAGTTGTTGGGCAGCAAATGCTATAAAGACCATTCCTCCCGCTCTTTCTGAAGCCACACTAGCTCTCAGGTAGATGACCATCTTGCAGGCAAAAGATCAGCTTACTAAGGAGGACTCTGGCAAGAATCTTGTCACCAATGACTGAGAGAGAGAGAGACACCCCCGTCCCCCGGTTGATTGTCCCAAGACAATCTATTTCCTTTACCTTTATAGAGATGGACAATGGAGACATCCTTGAACTCCTGGGGGGATAACCTCCTCTTGCCATAGAACCTGGAAAACTTCAGTCAACTTACGTATAAGCAGTGGGCCCCCTACCCTGTAAATCTCAGCTGGAATACAATCAGCACTAGGTGCTTTGCCACATGAAAGGCACCTAATGGCATTCAAAACCTATTCTTCATTTGGAACTTCAGCTAGGGAGGGATTGACTTCAACCTGAGGTAAAGAAATGTTCAGCCCATCTCTCTAGGATCATATCCTTATCACTAATCAATGTGGCTCCATCAGCACTGAGTAATTGAGATGGATTATAGGTCTTTGGCCAATAAATAGCCTTCATGGCATCATAAAAGTGCTTTGGATTGTTACTATCAGCATAATATTAAATTTCATATGCCTTCTTACTGAGCCAAAAATCCTACATCTCTCTAAGCTTTGCTTGTACTTCACTTTTGATGGAATTAAATGCTGCCTTCTTAGGAGTGGATGAACTGCACTGCTGGTAAACCCTATAAACTTCTAGTTTTTCATTTAGCAGCTTCTGAATTTCCCATCATTTTCATCAAACCAGTCTTGGTGTTTGCGAGTGTTCTGGCCCAGATGAGCAAATGCAGTGCTGTACACCAAATCTCTGAAAGCTGCCCACTCCTTTTCTGCTCCCCTGTTGCCAGCTGTGTGTTGGCTCAACTTCCCTTCCAAATTAGCAACAAACTGTTCCCACTCAGAAAAGTTTAATCTGTTGACGTTAATTCTTCTGGTAGTCATTTTGCCTTGGGAATGCCACTTCTGTTGGATGCAAGTATTTAGCTTGGAGAGGATAAGTTTATGATCAGTCCAGCACTCTGCACCACACATTAGACCATCCTGTCTCTTTTTACACTCACATAGTCTATTAAATGCCAGTGTTTGCTGCGAGGGTGCATCCATGAAGTTTTGTTGCATTTAGGTAAACAGAAGACAGTGTTGGTGATGAGGTCATGATATGCACAAGTCTTCAATAGTGAGTAATCACTGCTGTTGCTGTTTCCAACTCTGGACTCCCTGCCACATCTGGTAGTCTAAGCCCACTCTAGCATTAAAGTCACCCAGAATTATAAGCTTGTGTTCTTTTGGAACATTAATGATAAGAGTCTCTAGGTTTTCATCAAACTTTTCTTCGATCTCATCAAGGTTCATCATGTGGGAGCACATGGTGGCATGATGTTTTCTGCAAGTGGCAATCGCTTTGTCACAAGCCTGTTATTCACTCCTTTTGGTAGGCATACAAGCTTGGTGACTAGATTAGCTCTGACTACAAATTGTTCTTATCTGCCCATTCCACCAGGGGAAGTCTTCGCATGCTTGGGGTAGATACCCTCTAACTTGCCAACGGGTTTGAGACCCCTCAGTTTCCCTCAACCTGGTTTAGCCTGTCTGCTGAAATGGTTTACTCAAGTGTGGCAACTGGGCATGCTACAGCTTCTTGGAGTCACAGGTGAGAGTTAGGTGAAACAGGGGGACACCAAATGTGGAAAGCAGCCCTAAAAAGGGCTCAGCAGCCATCACACCAGAGGTACTAGTCTTCCCTGAACGCACCCTACACCCCTGTAGACGCCTAGGGTTGGCATAGAGGTGAGAAAGTTAAATTTGACAGTAAGACAGAGAGATATTCTGCGCTTAAAGGTTCTTTTACCCAAATTCCAACTGAACGGTTACCATTCAATGCTTCCTTCCAAGTCCTTATGTGACATGTTGTTACACTTGGCCATTACTCAGGCACCATCCATTACAAAATATTTAATTAGAATTACAAACACTAAACGTAACTAGTTTGTAATAAAAACAAAGACTGTCAATTTTTTCAGTAGTATTAATTTGTTTGAACAATTCAAAGTATTTATTATTCTGTTAGAAACGAAGTACAGACAGGCATACACACATATATGTCAAAACCTGAGTATCCTTAAAAAAATCTCCAGAACATACCTGTTATTTAAACCAAAACATATTCCATAATTCTTACAAAATAATTAAAATGGAATAGCAGACCAATTGCATAACCAAATTGATTTGAAAATAATCTGTCTTCTCCTACACACCTAAAAGAATGGTGGGAAAGTTGAGGGCAGAATATAATAACTTCTCACAATGAAGGAGAAAGAGACTTCCTGAAATGACATGGTATTAAGATACACATTGATGAATACAAGGCAGGAAACCCAGATAAAACCTAGAGTTTAAAAAAGGGCCCAGACACACTTCAACCTGTCAGAAGCTACATATAGAATATATTTCCATCCTAAAACAGACACACACAAACACACATACACTCTCTCTCTCTGAACTGTTTGGAGATGACATCACTTCATTCACTAATTAAAAAGTAGTAATGAAAGTGATAAGCTTAATACTGCACATCTTGCAAGTGATGTATAATTAAACTATTTTGAGTCTTCAAATAAAAGATAAATATACATGTATACAAATATATTATATTATATACACAAGTTTGTATAAATATATTCCGACACAATGAAGAAACCCATTCTTCCTACCCACAGGATTAACCTGTCAAAAAAAACAACAAAACAAATCACTAATACTAAAAAAAAAAAATCAGGTTTTCCTAAAGAAGCATTTAATGTACCCATGGCAAATGTGTCAACTAAAATTATATCCAGCAGAGGGAAAATAATGCAGTTAACTAATCACCATCCTTCATAGACTCTATTAGTAACTGAATATGTCAGGTTCACAATTTGGCCTTATCTCTAAATTTCCAAGTAAGACAAGACTGGAGAAACAAATTCAGTTTACTTTTTCTCAGCTGTACAAGGTCCCTTTCATACAAATCAATTCAACAATGCTGTAAATTTTCTAATGACTGCCTTAGAGTGAGTGAACTGAGTAATAGTTCTGCCCAACACAAGGCAGGTATGTAGAAATGTTCTGAGGGTCCTTTTTTGTCTTACACAATCATGGTTGCTTCAACAAACTTAACACATTTATATTGGGCTCATTCATTTAGAAATTTCTCTGGAATGATTACCTCTATAAAAAGCAAGCTGTTAAGAACAAGATGCTTTAAGTTAATTTGGATGGTTAACAAGGAAGAAGTTGAAACTACACCTTTAAGGAAACTAAGTTAAATCAATTCAATTCAATTAAATCAATTCAAACCTATTATGTCAAAGGCTAGGGAAAAATGGGTGGCTATAAGTCTGTATGTTTTTAAACAATAATTATAGAAATGGATTTTTCAAATATGGAAGAAGTCTTATAGTTGTAGCAAAAGAAGAAAAAGTTCAGCATACCTGAAAACAAAATTCAAGTTTCCAACATAAATTATTTTTAAAAAACTAGTCAGCAAAAGCTCTAATTGAATTCTAGCAGCTTGTCCAAAGGTCCAGTGCGAAATGTTTTCTTTTGGATTATTCTTGAAATGCTAAAATTTGGGAGACTTCACTCTCTACTTGGCTGAGAAGCCGAAGCAAGGGACGTGACGGCCAGTAGTCGCTTACTTAACAGAGCATTGTGTCGTTTCAGGTATTCTATTATATCTCCTTGCTTTTCAACTACTTCTTCTAGACTGGAACTAGTCCTGCAAATAAATAAGTCATAAGGTTATAAAACAAACAAAAAGAAAGCCCGCCTGATACAAGGTGCTTCCTGGCAGCCTCTCAGCAGTTTCTATTAGGCAGAATACCTGTATCCCTCCTGGAATGAGTTTTTCTTAATCTACTAAGCTCTATATGGTTAAGAACAGAATTTCTCCAAGTGAAAATTTCCAGAAGTACACAGGCTTGTTAACAAGCCCATTTGGGAAGCTGTAAACTAGGTACTCTTCCCTTTAATGGGCATTCATTCACTTTATTAACTTGGAAATTTGAAAAATAAAAACCTGTAATCCTTTGAAATAAGGTTTGCTAAGAAATACAGGAAATGGGGTACAGAAGGGGGAAGAAGATAGAAGGGAAGGCAGACTAGGGGAAAGGGTATTCAGAATGCATGCCATCTTGAGGTGGGGGGAGGGGGCAAGATGGGGTGAAAATTTGGAACTCAAAATCTTGTGGAAGTAAATGTTGAAAACTAAAAATGAGTAAATTTATTAATTAAAAAAATAAAAGAAATAAGGTTTGCTACTGCTTCACTTCAGTGGCACTGTCAGAATTTGCTACAATAATATAACTGTCCTAACTAATCAATATAAAGGATACCTGGAGTTAATTACGAGCAAAAATAACAAAAAGCTACCTTAAACTATAAGAAAGATAGTCTGAAAGTACAAGATTCTGGTCTTATTTAGCAATTAAACCAGTATGATCTCTTAGGCGTAAGTATCTAGTTGCAGTATCCCCTAGGTCAAATGGTATGCATCATTCAGTAACTTTTGGGCACATTTACAAAGTGCTTTCCAGAATGGCTGGATCAATTCACAACTCCACCAACAGTAATTTAACATGCCCTTTTTCCTATCTCTGTTATATTCCATTTTTTGGGGGGTGTGAGGGGAAACCACATAGTTGCTTTAATTTGCACTTTTCTAATTATTACTGTAGCATTTTTCTGATAGGTTGTATTTCTTCCTTAGAAACTTGCCTATTCCTATCCTCTGACTATTTAGCAATTGGAGAGTGCCATCTGAGCCAATTTCTAAGGAAAACCTAGCCTCTATACCGAAAAGATAAAAGAAATTGGAAAAGGACACACATATATAAAATATTCTATAGCAGTTCTTTGTGTAGTGGCAAAGAACTGGAAACTAAGGGGTTCCCACCAGCTGGGAATGGCTGAACAAATTTTGGTATATAAATGTAACAGAATTTTATTGTGCCATAAGAAATGATGGAAGGGAGTCAATTTCAGGGAAACCTAGAAGACTGATATGAACTGATACTGAGTGAAGTGAGGAGAACCTGGAGAACAATTCACACAAAATACAACATTATAACGAAAAACAACTTTTTGTTGTTGTTCAGTCATTTTTCAGTCATGTCCAACTCTTCATGACCCCATTTGGGGTTTACTTGGTAGATTTATGGTTTGCCATTTGCTTCTCCAGCTCTTTTTACAGATGAGGAAAGTGAGGCAAACAGGGTTACGTGAATTGCCCAGAGTCACATAGCTAGTAAGTGTTAGAAGTCAAATTTGAACTCTGGTGTTCTGATTCCAGGTATGGTGATCTATCCATCTAGCTGTACTTTTTTTTTTCTTTTTAAATAAAGGTTGCCTTTTTTTATAGTTACAAAGCAAGAGTATAAATAATCTTGATTATTTGTCCTTTTTGCAGTAATCATGTTGGAAGTGAACAGAGAATTCTGAAAATTAATGTATTTTTGAAAAACGTTGCTTCAGTGATTATTTAGAATTTATAGGTTTAAAAATCAGGGGCTCTCAGGGAGATGCCAAGAGGCTGTTAATACTGGTTCAAGATATAGAACAAACTTCCCAAGTGCCGGGTGTTAAAAGGGTGCTAAAAAAGGCTGAAGTGCTGATTTTTCTCCATAAGAATGACCACATCCATGCCAAACTTGCGATACAACTGAGGATAAATCATAGATCTATAATAGTTTGTCTGTGGCTTAGCTCTAACCACATCCCAACACTCTAAACCACAATGCATATACACAAAATTCCCAAAACCATCACTCAATCATTTGAATGTGCCAAGTTTCACTAAGTATCATGATGCATAAACACTGGACTAAAAGTATTTAATGGATAACTAAATATACAATATGTCAAATATTACACAGAATTTCTCTTTCTACAGAATTTATTATATAACCATATCAGTAAAATGGCACAAGCACGGACCATCTCTTGAAATATGGAACTAGCTTTTGTATGCTGATTTAAGTTTCTGCCTTTACTCTCAACTACAAACCACGTAATCCAAAGAGATTTATCATGTAGGAATTACCTTTGAGAAAAGTACAATGATAGAAAGAATTTGGTAAAGGCTACTTTATATAAAGGAATTTGTTTTATCTTTGAACTGGATAGTAGAGAAAGGAATTCAAAAGTAAGAACTTAAATAACAAGTTTGCACATTTGCAAACTCCTCTACCCATCTTATGGCTTGGCTTCATCTAAATTTTTTTTAATACATGACTCCCTGAGATCAAATGCAATCAAGTCTGTCAAATGCTTTGTCAAAGCATCATCCCAAAGGCATGTCTGCAAGTACACACAGAACTGAGGCCAAAGAGTTTTTCTGGCTCCCAATCCATCAAAGAGCTAACTCACTGGTGGAGCTCCATGCTTAAATCCATTCCAAGGAGCACCACCAACAGGACACTTTTTGCCTGCTAAAGGGTCATCAGGGACGTGTACTCTTTCTGTACTCTTCTCATAATTAAAGATTTCTTCTCTCCTCCTCTAACATCCACTGTCTTCATGCTTTCTCCCTCTTTCACAGTATCAAAAAAACACTCGGGAAAAAGGCTGGGGAAATCCTCATTTTCACTAAGTTTTTGCTTTTGTTGTTTTGGTCCACAGTTTTGATTTCTTTAGTGTAGAGGAACCTGGGGTAGAAACTCCCGATATTGATGTAGGTGCAAAATAAGGACCTGGCAAGGGATTAAGAGTCCTAGGGCGTTGCCTGAAAGATTAAACAGCTGGCCCATGGTCACAAAGCTACTATGGATCAGAGACAGAAACTGAACCAAACTTGTGACCTTGCCTCTGTCACCTGCCTTGTCCACTAAGTCACTTAGCTTCATTTGCAAAATCAAGAGGTTGGATTAGATTAGTGGTTATCAAACTCAAATAGAAACAAGGACCATTACACATACATGAAGATCCCTGCAGGCCACATGATGACTTAGAAAACCACATATTAACATTATCTATGTTCTACTGTATTTTTATTTTGTTAAATATTTCCGAATTCCATGTTAATCTGCTTCTGGCAGTGGGCAATGCCAGGAATGTTTGAAACCTCTGGATCAGAAAACCTCAAGGGTTGGAGCAGTAAATTCTTCATCTGTAAAATAAGGGTGTTAGACTAGATCTCAGAAATACAGCTGTATAAACATTCATAAATACTAAGTATTCAAGTGTTTTTTCATGGATTTTAAGAAGAGTTCTAATTCTCAAAGAAAATACCTCTTCTTCTCCTGAACACTCATTCCATTCTCCTCCTGTTTCCCCCTTCATTATTACCTGAATCCAGTCTCTGAGGTACTATTATTGGCATACGCATACATGTTCTCTTCTTCAATTATATCAGGTCTTGGCTTGGCTTTATTAAATCTTCTTATTTTCACTAAAATGACAAAGCAATAATAGTTATTCTTGTCCAGATAAGAATGTGCATTTTTTAAAGATAAATTTTTAACATGATCTTTTGTTTTTGCATCACCTCCAGATTCCTCCTCCTCCCCACCCTTCTTATAACTGAGATTTGCATTTTTAAAAAATTTTAAAATACAGAACATATGACCTTTTGACTAAAAAGAACAAAATCACTTGAGTGCCTCTTACAGACAAATCACAGTGCTAGGTACTATGAGTGATACAAAGATAGGTAAAACAATATGGCCCCTGCCCTGAAGAAACTGACAGTCTAATAGGAAAGAAGAGATACATATACTAGTAGGTTAATTTATACAATGAGAAATGCTGCAAAAGATAAGAAGAAATTAACCACAAAGGACATATGAAGAAAGATGCTATCTGCATCCAAAGAAAAAACTGATAAATAGAACTATGTATAGAATGGTTTTATATATGTATAAATATTTGTTTCTAATGTAACTATCTCTAGGGCGGGGGTGGGTAGTGTTTAGGGGGAGGAGGGAAGAAAAAAGGGAAAAAAATAAAGTTGCATGATAACTTTATTATATATTTAAAAGGAATAGCAAGTTGTACATAATAGATTTGCATTTTCATGTGTGATCATTTTTTTCCTATTCTATTATGTTATGAAAATTCTAGTTTTATTTCTTAAGTTCAGAATAAAATAAAGAAAAGTTTAAAAAATCAAAGCAAAGCAAAATATAGGAGGAAGGTCATTAGCCAAGATTAAAAGAGCTAGGAAAAGGGTTAAGGGCAGCTAGGCGACAGAGTGGATAATGTCACACCTAAAAATGAATTCAAATTTGGCCTCAGACTCTTACTAGCTATGTTATCCTGGGTAAATCACTTAAACTGTTTGCCTGAGTTTCCTCATCTGTAAAATGGGGATAATAACAGCACTTACCTCCCAAGGTTGTCTCAAGGATCAAATGAGATATTTCTAAAGCATGTTGCTAACCATAAAACACTATATAGATGTTAACTATTATGATGAGAAGGAATATGGAAATGGTTTAGAACATATGTTGTAGGAAAAACATACCGTATACAAAAGTCAGGGAAGAAGGCAACATTACTTTCTGGCCTGGCAAAATGGGTAAAGGAAGGGAAAGCCTCAGGGAGAACTCTGAAGCAAAGGATTTAGATGGGCAGAAACAAAGAAGGAGGGCAACCCAGGTAGGCAGCATGAGCAAAAGCAGAGGTGGGAAATCACAGGGACTGCAGAGGTCACTGAGGAAGCGAAGGCAGCTGAAAAAGAGGTTCTTTTAGGGGCACAGCAAGAGATTAGGCTGAAAAATTAAGTTGAAGGCAGCAGGTCTGGTGGCGAATGCCAGTAGTCCCAGCTACAAGGGAGATTGAGGCTGGCAGGTCTCTTGAACTCCTGAGTTCTGATACATAGTGGGCTGTGAGAACTGGGAGAAGGACCAGGTTGTCTAAAAGGGGGCAAATGGATTATGAACAGAGCAAGTCAAGGCTTCTGTGCCATTCAGCATTGGGTTTTGGCCTGTGAGTAGTTCCCACCCCTCTAGCTTGAACAACATAAGGAGACCCATTTTAAGAAAAAAATAAAATTAAATTGGAGTCAGAATGGAGGCAATGTAGTACAATGGAAAAAGCCCTGGTTCTTAGTGTGAGAGGAGCTGGGTTCAAATCCTACCTGATACTTGCTACTGTGTGACCCCACTGGCAAAGTCACATAACCTCCCTAGGCCTCAGTATCCTTAAGAGAAAAATGAGGATGCTGGATGAGATAGCCTCTGGGGTCTCTTCCAATGTAGGTAGAAAAGTTTTGAATGTTACACTAAGGAGTTTGGACTTTTTAGAGCAGGTGATGATGGTATGCCAATTTGCCATTACTCAGTGAGCAATGACTATTCTTAAATCTCCTCTCCAGAGCTGTAACTATTAATGTGCTGCCTTTTTGCCAGGCAGTTACAAAATACCCTTCTCAAAATGGAGGCTACTTGCCTTTGATTGTTGTGGGACTCTGAATCAATGCAGAGCTCTCCCTTCTAGCAAGCAGTTTTCTATTTTGGTTTATTTATCAAGGAAAAGCCATGCTTTCTTCTTCTGAACATTTTAAAACCACCAAATAAAAAACAGAACTTAAAAAAATAAGATTATACAGGACTGTCTGCCCTGCCCCTCCAATCATGACACATCACACTGAGGAAGTGCTGAAACCACTATACATTTAACACGCTGATGTCATGATTTATGTTTTCTTTTTTATTTTATTTTATGTTATTTTTTTGCAATTGGGGTTAAGTGACTTGCCCAGGGTCACACAACTAGTCAAGTGTTTGGTCTGAGGTCAGATTTGAACTCAGGTCCTCCTGACTTCAGGGCCAGTGCTCTACTGGCTATGCCACCTAGCTGCCCCTATGTTTTCAAAGTATGAAAAATGAGTCATGGGGAAAAAAGTGTGGTGTTAGGAAGCAAAAGCCATATGAGATAGCAAAGGACTGACTAGGAGTCTAAAAGCCTGGGTTCTGGTCTCAGCCCTAGCATACTTTCAACTTTATTTTCCTCATCTGTAAAATGGGAATAATCATATTTATACTACATCCAATCAGGCAGAAACAGGAGTTGATAATTTCTTCTGGTGCCACACTTCTAAGATATTTTTATATTAGTCACCTGATAGTATTATTCCCTAAAAAGTATTATTCATTGGTAGCATAAAGCTTCAACCCTCTAAAAATAGCCTCTATTACTTTTGTACTTCAGGGAAAACAAACCAAAAGATTGTCATACTTGTCCAGGGTCACACAGCTAGTAGGTGTCAAATGTTTGGTCTGAGGCCACATTTGAACTCAGGTCCTCCTGACTTCAGGGCTGGCACTCTATCCACTGCACCACCTAGCTGCCCCTGTCATATTTTTAAATACATGTGAATATTAGAACTTAATATGCAGATCAACTGTAATTATCCTTCATCACAGGCCTTCCCAAACTAAATTCCTGATTTACTGAGAATTATTCAACTAAGTATTAAGTGGATTGAGGTCAAGTCTCAGTCAAGATATCCTGAGTTCAGATACTGACTCTGACACATCTGTGCCTGAGCAAGTCATAATCTCTCAGGGCCCCAGGCAGTTGTGTAAAAGTCACAGAAGTGATTCAAGTTTGCTGAAGGCTATAGTAATTTAAACCAAAAATACCTGAATGAAAAGTTGTACCTTTTGGACATTTTATTTACACCACTCCCACCTTCCTTCCTCCTCTCTAACACTTAAATGGACCAAAAATGTTGAAGGATAGGGCCTAACATTTTTTCAAGTTGCAGATCTCTGACAATCTGGTGAAACCTATGGATCCCTTTTCAGAGTGATGTTTTTATACCATAGCCTGTTCATAAATTAAAAACAGAACAAATAAATGTGGGAAAAAATGAATAATGTTTTAAAAAATAATTGAAAGGAAGACTAAGTTAGAAGTTAGTGAAAATAAAGATGTACAATTTTTTTTCCCATCCAAGTTCATAGGTCCCTCTCCCCACCCCCAAAATCTATCCACAGACCCCATGTACCACAGAGTAAAAAACCAAGAAAGCCCAGAAAAGACGGTAATAGGTATTCATCCTGAAGAAATAAAGGGAAAAAAAAACTGCATTTCTTGTCAACAGTGACTGACAAAAAAACAAAGAGAAGGATATAGATGTCTACAGCTTTCACACCTGACAACCAAAAAGTATATTTGAGAGTTTGTATACTCCATGCCTACAATGAGTTTTAGACAGCTGGTCAATTAGGCCTCAACTTCCCCAGAGAGGGGATACCTGCCAGAAGGCCAGTTTTTGTTGTTTTTTGTTCTCTTTTTAGGGGATTGCCAAATAAATTATGGTATATTTGGTTTTTTTAAAAATTAATTTATTTTTAGTTTTCAACATTCACTTCCACAAGATTTTGAGTACCAAATTTTCTCTCCATCTCATCCCTCCCCCCACCCCAAAATGGCATGCATTCTGAATACTCCTAATCTACCCTCTCTTCTATCTCTCCCCACCTTCTCTTATCCCCTTCCCCTTCAATTTTTCTGTAGGGCAGGATAGATTTCTATACCCCATTTCCTGTATATCTCATTTCCCAGTTGCATGTGAAAACAAAATTTTTTTTTAACTTTTGTTTTTAAAATTTGGGGTTCCAAATTTTCTCCCCTCCTCCCTCCCCACCCACCCTCATTGAGAAGGCAAGCAACTTAATACAGGTTATACATGTGTAGTCATGCAAAACACTTCCATAGTAGTCATGTTGTGAAAAACGAAGTAGATTTCCCTTCATCCTATCCTGCCCCCCATTTATTCTATTCTCTCTTTTGACCCTGTCCCTCCTCAGAATTATTTGCTTCTGATTAACCCCTCCCCCAATCTGCCCTACCCTTTATCATCTCCCTGCTCTCTTGTCCCCTTCCCCTCGTATTTTCTGTAGGGTAAAATAGATTTCCATACCCAATTGAATGTGTATGTTATTCTCTCCTTAAGCCAAATCCAATGAGAATAAGATTCACTCATTCCCTCTCACCTTCCCCCTGTTTCCCCTCCACTGTAAAAGCCTTTTCTTGTCTGTTTTATGTGAGATAATTTACCCCATTCTACCTCTCCCTTTTTCCTTCTTCCAGTATAATCCTCTCTCACCCCTTATTCTTCAGATATCACCCCTTCATAGAAGGCCAGTTTTCACTCCTCGTTATGATAAACATCCCTTTCTGTCATATGTAAATGGAATAAACAAATGTTTTAGAGCCAATAGAATCCCTGAAGAAATGAAAAGATAGAACTGAGTATGTTCAGCTTTTGCAGTAAAATTTGACCAACTGGTCAGTTGGTCCAAATCTAAACCTGATGAATTTGTAAGGTCCTGTACAAAGCCCTCCTGCTGTGAACAGGTATACAGTTTCACAATTAAAGAAAGGAACACTTTCATTTAGTCAGTACGCTGGAGAGGATGCATCTCAACTTCAAAGACGATATGACTTTCCAATGGCTGTTAGCCCAGCTTAAATTAAGAGGCCAGATGATAAAGGAACATACCATATTCCCAAATACAGGGTGCAGAGTAACTAGGTAAGAACTAAAAGCAGATCCTCAATTTGCTAATTCTGGAAGGCTTATTAAAGTTGTTTCAACAAAGCTCAAATTCATTCTTAGTAGGCAAACAATAGGGTGCCTATATTTTCTAAGACTGATTTCTAAATTAGACTCCCAGGTTAAAAACTTAAGAAAAAAAGCAAAATGACAACCAGGTAAAAGGATGTTTATCCCAGGGGCCTCTCCTATAAAAGTGCTACATTTTAGGACAGCAACATTTTAATATATTGTAAAATTCTTTTATAAGCAGCAATGATCTGATTAATGTCACAGTTTAAAACAAAAGACTCATTTTAAGTAATCAAGGTTGCCCTGTGTAAATGACCTACTTCAACTTCAAGAGCTGTTAATCTAGGGTTAAGATTTCAGAGGGTCCATGAACTTGGATGAGGAAAAAAAAATGACAGCTTTATATTTGCTCACCTCTAATTGAAATTTCTTTCAATCATTTAAAAACATTATTCTGAGAAGGGTTCCATGGGCTTTCCCAGACTGGAATTACACGAAAAAAGGTTAAGACATACCTGCACTAGAGTTTCCAACACCAAATCACACGGATTCAGAGTTTTGTAATTCAAAGACATCATGTAATTACAACGATACTGGTGTCAAATTAGACCACCCAGAATGTGTTTTCCACTATTCTTTCAGATCATTAGCCAAAAGAGGAGTGTGTTCAAAAACATTAACTCTCTGAAGAATTGGGTGGCCTTATGTGCCACGCAAATCTTCTTCCATTTCATTAGGGAGCTATGATGACTACAACAACTTTACGGGATGCTGAAACTGGGTAGATTTAATTTTAAGAAAGCACAAGGCACTGATCAAATTTAGCATGATGGAACTTCTTACAGTTTAAACAATCTCATTCGTGCTAGTGATCTTGACAGTGATTTTCCTGGGTGCCATAGCAGAGGCACCGAAATTTGGGCAGAACCCCCTCTGTCCCCCACCCACCACCAAGAGTTAAACGGGGCAGATCCAACTGCAGTCAAAATGTGACTAATCCAATACTATTTTCCTAATTACAAAGTGATAAACCAGAAAAGCAGAGTTACTGACTTCACCAAGTGAAGAAGGCTGCTCTGAAAGCTGATATAAAATTAAAATGTTAAGCCTGGGCTTAAATCTTTCCCCCTGCTTCATGGTATACCTGTGGACACTCACCTCTACGGCCATGAAAAGTGCCAGAGAGCCTGTTATATACCCAACTAAATGACTGCATTCAAGCTCAGACCATAATCTTCAGTCATTTCAGGTAATTGGTCAGATATGGAATAGAACTAACCCAGGCAACAAGTGATTAAATATTTACTCCAGAGACCGGGATCATTTTACTAAAGTAAATTTGGTAATCTGAATGACAGATTAATCCATTATAATAATAGCTAACATTTATATAACGCTCACTGTGTCCCAGGCACTATGCTAAGCAGAATTATTATTCATATAATCCTCACAACAACCCTGGGAAGTGCTGTTATTTATCCCCATTTTACAGATGAGGAAACTGAGACAGAAAGGTTAAGTGACTTGCCCAGGGTCTCATAGCTATTAAGTAACTGAGGCAAGATATGAAATGGTCTTCCCAACTCCAGTCCCAGCAGCTCTATCCACTGCTCTACCTTGATGCTCACCCTTCCTCCCCCAACTCCGCCCCACCGCTAGTCAGTTTTCCCCTCCTCCCTTTCCTTTTTTCCAAGAGCCAATAAGATATAAATTTAGCATTATGCACATATTTTTGTTTTTTGCTGCATGGTTAATGGTTTATGAGTGTAAGTTAAAGATTTTCATCTATTAGTTCCACTAGTATTGGGCCAGCCCAACTGGGTAATATTCCACAAAAGGAATATAAACCATTGAGATTGCTTCTTAGCAGATAGGGGCAATGGGAATGATGATATCTGTGGAACCTAACAGGGTTGTGAAATTCAGAAGAGAATGGAAGTAAAATACTCTGTAGAAATTAAAGTGCTCTATTATTATTAAATAATATGCCTCAAGAGCAGTACACTGGATTATAAACTGACTCTAATAGAAATACCATACTAATTGCTAGATTACCACAAACACAGCAAGAAACTAACAATAAAAATTCCCTTTTCCTCTCTAATTGGAAGTGATCTCTCTTTGCATCTCATATCGAATTTTGCCCTTTGTTTTCCCTTGACTTATTTGGCATTAAGGTCACTTGTCTGTGACATATCCCCACCCTGACCAGATTATAAATTCTATGAGGGCACAGAATATTCTTCCTCCTCTGTCCACTCGCCAGTGTTCAGCAGAGGGATCACCACAAGAGTAGGTACTAAGAAAATGTCTGCTGACTTGCTGAATGTCTCTCTTGCTCATATCTCACCTTTTGGAAATTAGATCAATTTACAATTTGTATAAATTTGTGATTTACACAACAGGCATGATGCTGCAGGGTTATGTAAAGATAATTTTTTTCCAAATAAAAATTCTAATTGTACAGAGGAATTTGTGATTTACAAGAAGACTGCAGTCAGTTATTTTATAAAAGCAAAGAATTACAAAAATAATTGCTGTTCTTACCCATGGAAGTCAGTGCCTAATTACTTTTAAACTCGAAACTGAAGTTCTTCATAGCATATTTTAAAAATTTAATAACCTTCAGAGCATATGTGATATTTTTACTTACATCACTATCATCTACCTCATAAAGGACTTGTTATGGGCAGCTAGGTGGCATAGTGGATACAGTGTCAGATTTGGAGTCAGGAAGACTTGACAGGTCAAATCTTGACTCACTTAGTAGTTGCATAAACTTGGGCAAGTCATTTAACCTGTGTCTCAGTTTCCTTATCTGTAAAATGGAAATAATAATAATGCCTACCACACAATGAAATGAAAATCAAATGAGTTAACATATCTAAAAATGCTTTGTGAACCCTAAAGTATTATATAAATGCTTGTTATTAATATAATCAAATACTTAAGGAGAATAAGTTAAGAAAAAACTTATAAGAATTTAATATGGTCACCCTCATCTATTCCAGTCACTAGAAATGGACTTTTAAAATACTTTTTAAAAAATGTACTGCTATAATATCTTTCACATAAACATACAACACTTCCTTTGATCACAATTTTAGGACTGATTCAAAGAAGAGACAAAACCCAAAATTTAATTAATAGCAAGATACTAAATGTCCCACCCAACAGTAAATCAGTACTAAACACACATATGTACGTGAAACTACTTTACTTTATCATTTTCTATTTAAACATTTGGTGAAGATATTATCCAATTTCATGAAAAGCTTCTTCAAGTCAACAAAAGCTTTACAATTAGTTCAAAATCATGGCTGCTAGTCATGGTAACACTTTCCTGCTGATTTCAAAATGGGAGCACCAAAGAGGCTGGCACTAAGAGCCAATTCGAGGTCACAGCTGAAGAGAAATAATTACTTGTATGCTGCATTTTTGTTGTTGTTATACATTGTACTTTTTTCAGAATATGAATTAAATTATTACTTATAACAATGAGTATGAATGGTCTGAATTTCCCCCTAAATAAAAAAGTTATAGGAGGGATCAAGAAACAAAACAAAAATTATTACAATGTTTATAGTAATATATTTAATTCAATGAGTTATGGATAAATTATATATAACTATTTTTTCTTTGGTATAAATTTTCAGATATTCAGTGAGATTTGTATTATGCATGAAAATATTTCTCATATTTATTTCATTTCTCTGAATTCCCTCCAATATGAATTTTCATACTGGAATTCATATTCAAGGATTCAGTGTTATTTGAACAATACCACACTTTTCATCTATAGGGCTTCTTTCTAATACGAATCTTCTGCTGTTGAAGAAGGTCTAAGTTACAAAAGAATGCTTTCTGATATTCTTTACATTTTAAAACCTTCTTTCTCGTATGAATTTTCTGGTATACAATAAGGTCTGAGATCTGATTGTAATGGAATTATGGAACCATAATGGAAAAGTAATGGGCTTTATAGCCTGAACTGGGGAAATAGAATACTTAAAAGGCTACGTAAGAAGGGCAGACCTGGTAGGTGGACAAAATGGGTAATTCTCACCTGTGTAAATGACTAGACATATCAGGGAACAAATCAGTTCCAAGGCCAGGACTGCCAGGATGAAGTCAAGATAGAGGGGACCATGATCAGGGAAGGAGTGCTGTATACACAGGATGAGGAGCAGGGCTGCATTGCCTGACAAAAGGAACACAAATCCAGCATTAGCCAAAGCATTGCACTTGCTGTCAAAAGAGGAAGCAACAGCCTAGTCAAAATGGTAGCATATAACAAAGCTGAAGATAAAAACCAAAGTGAGTGGTACCAACCACTTGGGGCAAAGGGCAGAACAAGTTTCTTAATATTATGAAGGCTCCAGGGACATTCCAGCATTATAGTTACAATTTATAGCCAAAAGCAAAATTGTGTAAGTGCAGTTGCTTAGGCCATCTGATCAAAGCCACTGACATTCTGAGAAAAGCTAAAACAGGAGAGAGGCAGGGTGGTATGTGGGAGGAATGATGGACCTGGGGTCAGGAGCAACCTAGTTAAAATCCCATATTGGAATCTCTGTTGTGTGACCATAGGCTAGTTACCTTAAATTCTTTGGACCTTTAAAGTGAAGATAACAAATTACCTCACATTACAGCAATGAGGACCAAATAATGGATAGAAAGTGCTTTACAGCCTTTAAGCGATGTCTATATAAAGGTCAGCTACTATCACTCGAAGCTTAAAGATATTAAAGATAAAAAAACTCAAAGTACTTTGTACAATGTATCATAATAGAAGTAAATCCAATTTGTATAAATCTAAACACAAAAAATAAGTTAGAGAATGATTCTATTTTTTTTTTCAAATAGAAAATGGATTAATTTTAATTTTCCTTCTGATCTGTATCAGAATAAAACTATTCATGAGAGGCAAATGATAAAGAAAAGTATTTAAGCCAGAGTTGTAATGACCTTGTGAGATAATTATCAAGTATATTTAACATATATATATTCAGTCCAGTAACCAGAAACATTCCCCTTTGTACTTCAAATGTTCAAATAAACCTTTCTAGAGCCCTTCAAAATGTAATATCTGACAAATTATAGAGAGCATTACAAAATGTAAAATAGACAATTTTGATTATATAAAATTTCATTATATAAAATTATATAAACTTTTTGCACAAACAAAACCAATGCAACCAAAATTATAAGGAATGGAGAAACTGGGGGAAAAATTTGCAACAAGTAACTCTAATAAAGGCCTAATTTCTCAAATATATAGAGAACTTAGTCAAATTTATTAAAATACAAGTCATTCCCCAATTGATAAATGGTCAAAGCATTTGAACGTGCAGTTTTCAGATGAAGAACTCAAAGCTATCTATAGTCACATGAAAAATGCTCTAAATCACTATTAGAGAAATGTAAATTAAAACAACTCTGAGGTACCACCTCACACTTATCAGAGTGGCTGTTATGACAGAAAAGGAAAATGTTGGATGTTGGAGGTATGTGGGAAAAACTGGGACACTAATACACTGTTAGTGGAGTTGTAAACTGATTCAGCCATTCTGGAGAGCAATTTGGAACTATGCTCAAAGGGCTATAAAACTGTACATACCCTTTGATCCAGTAATACCATTACTAGGTCTATATCCCAAAGACATGCAAAAAAAAAGAAAAAGGATCTATTTGTACAAAAATATTTATAGCCGTTCTTTTTGTTGTGGCTAAGAACTGGAAATCAAAGGGATGCTCATCAATTGGGGAATGGCTAAACAAACTTATATGATTGTAACGGAATATTATTGTGCTATAAGAAATGACAAGCAGGATAATTTCAGAAAAAAAAAATGGAAAGACCTATATGAACTGATGCATAGTGAAGTGAACAGAACCAAGAGAACATCATACACAGTAGCAGCAATATTGTTCGATGAAAAACTGTGAATGACTTAGCTATTCTCATCAATACAATGATCCAAGACAATCACAACGGACTAATGATGAAGCACATTGTCTTTCTCTGAAGGCAGATAATATGCTTCATCTTTAGTCCTTTGTGATTGTCTTGGATCATGATTCTGTTTTAAAAAAAGTTTCAAAATAGGATTTCCATAAACAGCAATATCCCTTTATATATTTAAAATAATCCAAAAAAATCACATTAATATACATTTTTTTTTTTTTAGCAGTACCCAAGATAGATAGGCTTGCACAAGACAGAAACATCCAGGACGGTAATGGCTAAGGTAGCTCATTTAGGTGAATGCCATTTCCCCCTTAATCATCCCTCCATGGTGATACTCTCCCAGTAAGCCTATGACATATTTCTCAGTGTTGTTTTTAAACCTACATTTTACATTGCTAATTTGATGAACTTGGCAAACATTGAAAATGTACAAAGAGGAAGTGATTTCCAAGTTCCTTCTTTTCCTAGTGTTTTTCTAGATCTGGAAAATGTTTCCTTAGTCCAAAGAAGAGAAGGGATCTCCTACTTGTTGGTGCAAGCAGAATGACTATGAACCAGTAGGCCAAGTTTAAATTACATATAAAAGTCACTTTGCACTTTAGCTCTGTTCTAACATGTCCCATTCTGCTGAAAATCATATTAACATGCAATCATGCTGTTAGTAAATCAGCTTTGGGGAGACCTAATTGGTACTCGGTCTCAAAACAATTACACTTTTAAAAATTGGGGGAGGAAAGTTTTAAAAAATGAGAGAGGCTGTTCTGCATAGACAATGTGATTGTACCATACAGATGCTGGACTACATATAATTTTCAAAGGAATTTTAATTTTTAAGATGTTCTATAACAGAAGCCCTTTTTATAGTAACAAAGATGGAGGCTATCAACCTGGGAGATAGTAAGCAATTATGGTACATGAATGTAATAGAATATTGGAAGAATGGAAGAAACAATGAATTAGAAGGATTTAGAGAAGCACAGAAGACTTCTGTGAACTGACAGAGTAAAATAAGCATAATCTAGAAGGCAATACATACAATGACTACAACAATGGAAAGCACAAAAGAAAAGTGACTGAATATTGTGTAATTAGGTCATTAGATCTGGCTTAGCCTCAGAAAAAGAGTGAGAAAATGTACCTCTCTCTCTCCTATGAAGAGATGGGAAATTATGGCTATGGAATATTACATATACTGTCAGATACGGTGAATATGTTGATTGGACTTTGCTGACCTACCCTTTTCCTCTTTTCAAAATCTGTTACAAAGGCTAACTCACTGGGTAGGTTAGTGGGGAGGGATTATTTACAAATTAAGGCGGTTAAAAAAAAGATGAAAAAAAGAATAAAAAGTGTTCTATAGTAAATTCAATTTTACTGCACAAGACTACATAGTATGACTCTAGAGTAGAGCTGGATAGAAGATACAAATGGATTTCAAAATGACATAAGCTCATAGATCCACCTAGTGGCCATTTCCACAAACTCTCCAGCTAATCCATAGAAGTGTCTGGTAATGTTTATTCCATTTGACTAACTGAAATGTGCTTAAGACATGAACGCATGCTAAAAAAAAAAAAAAAAGGACTTAAACAATAACAACAAATCTTACAGGACTGTTTCATGATAGGCATCCACGCATTGAGCCAAAATTACTACCTGCCACACCTAGCACCTAGGAACCCCTAAAACTCATCAATGCAATTCACTGATATTTACTAATAATAAAGAACCCCAAACTCACCTCTCCTTATTGTGCTTAATAGCAACAGGCACAATTAAGTGGCCACACTCCCAATCCATATGACCCAGAGAATTAATTTGGGTTTCCCACCAGTGACATTTAAGAAAGCTCTGGTTTAGGGGGCTCCTACTCAACTAAGCTGCCTGTACCTATGTCAAGAGTATAGGTTATACTATGCTAGGACATCTTGCAATTTCTGGTATAGAAGGCATCTAGGAGATGCAGTATCTAGTTACAGTTCTGGGCCTGGAGTCAGGAAGACCTGAGTTCAAATATGACCTCAGATACTAGCTATATGACCTCAGGTAAGTCACTTAACCTCCATTTCCCTTCCTCCTTCCCTCATGGTGGTTAATCAAGTGACTTGATCTGCTTCTAAACCAGTCAGTAGTTAATCTAAAATTCACAGAGAGCATCTCTCCATATTGTAGTTATAAAGTTTCAATGACTAAAATCAAATAGTTTTGTGGATGGTCTAAGAGAATACAATCACTAGACAATTTTGATGAGGACTCTGATCAATGCAATTACTAACTACAATTTTAGAGAAATGATGGACTCAAGTAATGGAATAAGGCATATATTTTCCATCTTGGCCAATGTGGAAATTTCTTGTTGTTTCAATTATGCATATTTGCTGAAAGGGTTTTGTTTAAGGGGGGGGGCGGCGGGGAGAGAAAGCTTGGCCTCAGAGAAAAGATATGCAAAGACACCTCCCTCTACTCCTTTGTAGAAACTAGGAGGCTCATGAGTATGGGGCATTTCATATATTTTCAGATTAAAAAAAAATTATTGATTTGTTTTGCCAATTGTTTTTTCTCATCTTTTTTTTTCTTTTAAAAACTATTTTGTTATATAGGATGGCTCTCTGGGAAAGGGGAGGGAAAAAAATACAGGGGATTAATAATGGTTTTTTTTTTTAAGTGGAAGAGAATCTTTGTTAATTTTTAAAAAGTAAAATAAAAGTTAAATTAAAAGTATAATTACTGGACTAATATTTGAAAAATAGATATTCTGCTTTGGTTAGCTGTTGTTGTGTTTTCTCAAAGAGGACCATGATATCAGGGAGATGATGACATGACTTGCAATTGACTTTGTTTTAAGTGAGGGAGGGCTGTTCAAGGTCACCAGCCTCACTTTCTCCTCCAGAACCATCTGGGTCCAATGGCCAGATATTCATCAAGACTACTGGGATAACTCAGGATGCAAGGGGAGACCCTTTCAATACTAACACCGGGGTTTCTGCTCTTACCATGCAGGATACAGTGACCCCCTTATGGCCAAAGGATGCTGTGCAAGAATCAAAGTAGGCTTCCCTAGAATCTACCAAGTTCACCCTCTTAAGAGGTAGAAAATCATAAATATTGGAGATGTGGGAAAATTGGAACACTAATGCATTATTGGTGGAGTTGTGAACTGATCCAACCGTTCTGGAGAGCAATTTGAAACTATGGCCAAAGGGCTATAAAAATGTGCATACTCTTTGACCCAGCACTTCTAGGGCTGTATCCCAAAGAGACCATAAAAATGGGAAAAGGACCCACATGTACAAAAATATTTATAGCACCTTTTTCTGTGGTGGCAAAGAACTGGAAATTGAGGGCATACCCATCAATTGGGGAATGGCTGAACAAATTGTGGTATACAAATGTAATGGAATACTATTGTGCTATAAGAAAGTATGAGCAGGCAGGCTTCAAAAAAACTTGGAAAGACTTACATGAACTGAGGCAGAGTGAAATGAACAGAACCAGGAAAACATTGTACACAGTATCAGCCACATTATGGGATGACTGACTTTGATAGACTTGGCTCTTCACAGCAACACAAGAATCTAAGACATCTCCAAAAGACTCATGATGGAAATTGCTATCCACACCCAGAGAAAGAAATATGGAGTCTGAATGCAGATGGAAGCATACTATTTGCTCTCCTTTTCCTTTGCTGTTTTGTTTTATTGCTTCATTCTCATGGTTCCTCCCATTACTTCTAATTGTTCTTTATATTATGACTAATAGGAAAATATGCTTAACATGAATGTATATGTAGAGCCTATATCAGATTGCACGCCATCGTGGGGAAGGAGGGGGAGAAAATTTAAAACTCAAAAGCTTATGGAAGTGATTGATAAAACTAAAAATAAATTAATTAATTAAACAAAAAAAAAGAGGTTGAAGGCAGAGACTATATCATTTTGTATCTAGACCAGACAATGGGAGCCTTTTTTTTTTAACTGCCAAGTCTCATCCCAATGGAGAAACTGGACACACTGCCATCCATAGGTCACAGCTGGTTCTGAAGGTCTCCTAGAGAGGGAGCCTCTTCACATGACTTTTTTTTTTTTAATTCACTTATCTTTATTCAGTTTTGTGGTTGCAGTGTTCTCAGATGTTCTAAGACAACAATTTTAATCTAGATTAAAAATACTTCAGGATGGTCTATGATAGAAAGGCAGAGAAACTAAAAAATAAAACAAAACATGGGATTCTCACAGAAGACTTCAAACAATCTAAACTAGGTCTGTTTAATTTCATTTCAATTCCCAGACCAATAAAAAAAAGCCAGCTCTCATCCACATGAAACCCTTTGTTAAGATCCTGAGATCCAAAATATAGGCTCAAAGAATTATCAAAAAATAAACAACTATTAAGAACCAACCAGGTGCCACTGACTCAGTATGCAAAAGCAAAAATGAGAATGGTGCCTGGCCTCAAGGAGCTCATAGTCTATCCGGAGTGATCACAGGCACACATTTAAGTATATACAAAAAAAATTCAAGATAAATTCGGAAAGGAGGTAGGAAATCAGGAAAGGCCTCACGTAGTGGGTAGCTTTTGAGCTGAGTTTTCAAAGAAACTAGAAATACTAAGAGGCAGAGTTAAGGAACGAGTCCACAGGGACAGCTTCAACTATCCCCCTTTAGAAGGATCTAGCGGCAGCTAGGTGGCACAGTAGAGACAGCACTGGCCCTGGAGTCAGGAGGATCCAAGTTCAAATCTGGCCTCAGACACTTTGACACTAGCTGTGTGACCCTGGGGCAAGTCACTTAATCTCATTGCCTAACCAAAAAAAAAAAAAAAAAAAAAAAAAAAAAAGACCTAGAACATACATTTCAGGGAGTCTGTGAACTTGTAGGGGGAAAAAAACCAAATTTACCTTCCTTTTCACTAAATTCTAACTGAAATGTAGCACATTTTCACTTAAATGTAGCACATTTTCTTCCATTGTTTTAAAACATGGCCCTGAGAAAAGTCCAAAAGCTTTACCAGATTGCCGTAGGGATCCAGGATACAAAAAAGGTGAAGAACTAACCCCTGGTCTTGATCACCACCCATTCTCCTCACTTCCTGAGAGCTTGTTCTAACCCTCACTCCACTTGAATGTCTGACCAGAATTGCTTTGAAGCAGCTACTTCCTGAGGAAGAATTTATCCGTTTGAAAAAATAAGTTTTTTCTACTTCTCACTCCCAAAGAATAGTCAAAAAGCAATAATTTATTTCCTCCAACTCACATCTCTTCTTCCATGGAAGGCACAGCACTGACCCTAGAAAAAGCAATTATAAAGTTTTGCTGGTTGTTCAGGGACAGATTTTCCAAGCTCCACTTTTATATCCTGGGATCATCCAACCACCTAAAATTAGCACTGTGCCTGGTACATAGTAGGCACCTTATAAATTCTTGTTAAATGAAAGAATGTGGAATTATAGGAATACACAAATGGCTCTGGAGTTATTCAAGAGCTCTTAAGATTTAGTCATTGGGAAAAGCATTCCAACTATTCAGGGTTTTGTTGATGGGCCAAAAGTTAGCCCGTAAAAGGGTTTGGAAATCCACTAATCTATTTTTTTAATTTAATTTTTTTCGAGTCAACGAAAATCCACTTTCTCTCACTTCTACTTTCTCTCTGCCCTTACAAAAAAGAAAAAGAAAGGAGACAATACCTGTCCTCACCCCAGTGGACTACTTCGAGAAAAGCTTCTCCTAAACTATGAAGCACTTGGTAAAGGTGACCCACAAACCAGAATGATCTGGGAAAAATTATAGCATTCCTACCTCATCCATTTGACAGGAAAGGAAAATCCAGTGATCTGATGTCACTTTCCCAGGTTCTACCAGAAATTTACAGAAACAAAATGCACTATATAGTCCAATCTTTCACAATCATCTGACATTTCCAACAATAGATGGGGTCAAGAAGTTACATTATTGTAGGGTTTGGAATAAGCAAACCTTAGCAAACCCAATTTAAAGCTTGAGATCCTCACACCAGTTCTACCCAAGTTATGAGGCAGACTTTTGAAAAGGCAGCCAAAAAAAAACCCCAAGAAACAAAAAAGTGTGATAGAATGAAAAAACTGTTCTAACTGTGATGTAGCATTACTGCACCCTAAGGAATGATGGATATGAAAATGCAGAGGCATAGAAGATTTTACATGAACTGATCGTGAGCAGAAAAAAATCCCAACAAGCCCAGAGCCAAGACAACAGACAGATGATTATAATAACAGAAGTAAAAACACTATGAAAAATCAGTTGAACTCAGATTAAAAAAAAAAATAACCTTGGCTTTGAAGGACAGATGCTGAAAACATTTGCCTCTTCTCAGTAGAGAGCTAAAACATTTCAGATAAAAAATGTTACCAATCTTGTCCTTTAGTACTGCCTAGCTGTTTTCCTTTATCACTAAGAAAAGGACAAAGAAGAATACACCGGGGAAGGACTGTGGTCTAAAAAACCTAAGCCATCAAAACCACATTTTTTAAAATATAAAAAGCTAAGAGAGGCAGGTAGGCTCACCAGTAGAGTGTATCATTAACGACAATCTTTTAAGATGCCTTGTGGATCTATAGATGATGATATAGCCTCGGTTTTTCACTTGGCTATGGTGATACTGAATATAACGTTCAAGAAGCACGTGAAGAACCCATAAAATCACTTTTCCGAGGATGACCACAGTCTGAACTTTAAATGGGCTGATGTAGTTTCCCGGGCATTTGTCCTCATTTGGATTAGGATAAGAACAAAGCAAACCTGTTAAAAATGCTAAAACAACAAATACAACCTAAAAGGGAAAAAAAGTATCAAGATTAGGTTTTAGGACTTTGAGGTTAAACACAGAAGTCACTTTTACTGTCCTACATTCAATCACTGTTCTCAATTTTTAGAATGCAAGGACAGAAGATGACAGATTGAATTGAATTTTACGTTCCCATACCATACAATTTTGGTCACAAGACTTATCAAACAAATGCAATATAATTCTAGAATAGAATGTAGCTTGCTCGCTATGCACTTAGTCATCTAGGTAGGAAAGCTTATTTCCAAACTGTGATAGTTAAAATAAAAATAATTTTATATTTTACACTATTTTGTATAGCTTCAAGTCAATAGTTTCCAAAGAACTGAAACTGAAGAAGACCAGGTTCAAATCTTGTCTCAGACACTAGTTAACCCTGGGCATGTAACATTCCATGACCATCAGTTTTTATATTTGTAAAAAAAAAAAAAAAAATTTTTTTTCAAATTTGTAAAATCTGGACACTAAACCTCTAAGGTCCCTTCGAGCTCTAAATCTATGACCACCCAAAGGGCAATGGAGAGGGTGCACAGGGGCATGAACAAGCAGCAACACATTACAAATTACGTAGGAAAGGTGGTATAAAGGATACCATAAGAAAAACATCTGGGGGCAGCTAGGTGGCAAAGTGATAGAGCACCAGCCCTGGAGTCAGGAGGACCTGAGTTCAAATCCAGCCTCAGACACATAACACTCACTAGCTGTGTGACTCTGGGCAAGTCTCTTAACCCCAATTGCCTCACCAAAAAAAAAAAAAAAAGTCTGCAGAAAAAAGGCAGGGGAGGGGTAGTATTGACAGACAGATGACCCACGTGCACTGCTCTGTTAAGAGAATTCAACAAGGAAGACTCTCAGCATGTTGGATAAGCCGGCAGGGGTGAATCTGTGAGAGGATAACAACTATGGTTACACAGGATGAGTTGAGGAAATGGGGAAATTCATCATTATGGAATGCCCACTTTGATAAGATCAAAGATATGTTGGAATGTTATTTAAGTGAAAACATTAGCTATTCAGATCTGTAAAAACAATCTGTAAGGCATCTAGTTCAAATAATTTACAATTCTTAAGAAATAGTGTAATACAGGAGGGCTTAAAACTTTAACTTTTTATTTTTTTTTTTAATTTAAAAAAATTTTTTTTTTACTGAGGCAATTGGTGTTAAGTGACTTGCCCATGGCTAAAACTTTAACTTTTTAAAATTAAGAAGTACATTATAAAGTGCTTTTCTTCATGAGTTCATAGGATCACAAATTTATAGTTGGAAGGACCTTTAGAGGCCATCTAATCCAAACCCCTCATTTTACAGTTGAAGAAACTGAGGCTCATAGACATTAAATTCATACTGGGCATTCTTAATCCTAATTAAGAAGCAGCACAGTTTAAGAGAATTCTTGCATGGCTCCACAACTCCCCAAGTGTGATTATGGTTGAGTAATTTAACCCCTCTGCATTTGTTTCAAAATGGGTAAAAGAAGAAATTTGGACCACATGATGTTCAAGGTCCTTTTCAATTCCATAATTCTATCACCCACGTACCTGCTTCTCTAGTAGCAACAAGACTAATACTCTCAACACTTAGTCTCAGGTGCCCCCTCCCCGAATCTTAAAATAGTTGGACTATCATGTATTTCAGTGTAATTGGCTTCCTTTTGTAATCCTTTGTATTTTATTTTAAAAACATGATTCTGAGAAAGATTTCAGTCTTCACCAGACTGTCAATGGGGTATATGACACACACAGAGAAAGTTAAGAATCCCTAACCTAGACCATATGAGGTAATATGCCTTTGAAAAATCAAACAAACTAACTAATCAACTCCTTTGAATACACTTAAAACAGTCAACAGGTCTGGTAGGTAACAGTTACTCTTCTGACCACTATCATTGCAACAAGTACCATGGCAGAAGTTGGAGGAAGTACTATAATTTTTGGCTCCACTGTGGCAAGCATTTTCTAACAGTGCTTTTGTTCAGGTGCTATGGCCCAGGCAGATGTTCCCTCATCTGGGGATGGGCATTAGAGTAACTGACAGTATAATAGTTAATTTTTAGGGGGCTATGTATGTACATATATATGAATACGTACATGTATGTATATGCGAGTATGCATTTTTTTCCATATTTGTGATTTCACTATAACAGAGAATTTCCGAACCTTTCAACCAATTCAGACTGGGGCCTGTTCTGAGCCTTCTATGCTTTACAAGTTACCTAAGGTGCTCAGACGAGGATCACAGTCAGTATGCATCAAGGTGGCACTCAAACCAAGGTCTCTAAAGTGGCTCTCCGTCCACTAGGCTGTTTCTTTTTATACTAATGGACCTTACAGCAGAAATAGCATACTTATTCTGATCCAGATTCTCCAGTGTTCACAAGCTGAAGCAAGAAAAGTTACAACTTTGTCTGTGACACACTACTTGGTGAGCCTAGCACTCTTTCTCCTGTCAAACACCCAAAATTTAAAAAATAGTCCCCACAGACTTACATGTATTAACAAGAGAAGATTTGCAATGATGACAGTAGGAAGGGCATGGAATCTAGGTCTGAAATGAACATGCAATGGATGTTGTGGCAGAAGCTGAGCTTCTAGGAGAGGGTCATCTTCTAAACTTTGTGTGAGATCCAATGAACCCTAAAGGGGGATAAAATCGAAAATCAGGATATTCTTAGACAATATTCACAAAATCAGTTATGTAACATAAAGTTTGAAAAGTTGTTTTATACAATGAAAGGCCTTACTCCATTCTAAGAATATTTTTTCCGAAAAATCATTTAGTTTCAGCTACTGAAGGCATACTAAGAAGCAGAAGAAATTGTCTCCTACTCTCAAAGGGCTTACCATCTAACTGGCAGTCTAGGAATAAACAAATGAAAAGTTCAATAATGGTAAGAGTTCAATAGAGAAGCATTGTGTTTTAACAGAGGGCATGCTATGGACTCAGGAAAATTTAGGTTCAAGTCTTACATCTAATATGTATTAGGTATATGACCATGGGCAAGTTCTTTAACTTTTCAGGGCCCCAGGCAACTTTCTTTCTTTTTTTTTTTTTGGTGAGGCAATTGGGGTTAAGTGACTTGCCTAGGGTCACACAACTAGTAAGGGTCATGTGTCTGAGGTCACATTTGAACTCAGGTCCTCCTGACTCCAAAGCTGGAGCTCTATCCACTTTGACACCCAGCTGCCCCATCCAGGCAACTTTCTAAGACTTAAGTTACAGATGATGCACTTATTTGCATCTGTGTAAGAAGATTCCACACCAGAAGCTCCCAGTGATAATGAAATCACAGGTCTAGACATCCCTGCAAAATGGAAGGGAGAAACAGAATTTAGAACTAAAAACTTTAATTGAAAAAAATGTTAAAAATTGTTTTTACATGTAATTGGGGGAAATATTATTTTAAAAAATGTTAAATGACAAAGACGATTTTTCAAGTAAAACAGGCAAGTTGTATCGTCCCTCTGGGATTCAGTTTATGCATTTGCCCCCCCCCCCCAAAAAAAAGCCTTACCACTCTAAACACGACGGATGAGCTGGACAGAAAGCTAAATTCTACCTAACACTTATTAGTGTGGGCAAGTCACTTACAACTTCTGGTCCTCAATTTCCACATTTATAAAAGAGATAATGACTCTGAAAATACTTATTTCAAAGGGTTGTTGTGAGGCTCAAATGAGATAATGGATGTGAAAGGCTTCAGCTTAGAGCTCTATTATTGGCACAGTAATGGTTTAATAAATGTTTGTTGATCACATACAGAGTGTCCCCAAATGTCTTACCACAGTTTTAAACTTTACAAGTTTTATTGTACTAAAATTTTGGCATCACGCCATATAATGCAACTCTGCCTCTGAGTTTTAAGGCACCTGGTTGGACCTCTGCTAGGTAAGGTTCATACCTTTCCATTCTCCTCACTTCCCTCCCAACATTGGCTATTCCTTTTTTTTTTTTAAAGTTTATTAATCTGCAGTTAAAAAAACATCATTTCCAGACAATGATTACACAAAAATAGAAGCATATTATATATTCTTATAGTATTAGTTAACATACACTGAGATTATATTCATGTTTATTTTAATAGACTAAAGCATTATCTGGGACAAGAAGAGGGTATTCATCTCACCCACCTATCATGGAGTAAACAAAGAGTAAAATGCCTCTCACCTCATTTAGGAAGTATGTGTGACTTATGGCCTTGGGCACAGTGAAAACGGGTAAGGGTACAAAGATCAAGGTGGCATGTTGTCAGGCAATGAGTCATAACAACAAATGTGCCTCCCCCAAAGGCAGGCAGATTCTACACTGCCAGGTTATACCCGGAGAGAACTGGAAAATAGTATTTGTGTTCCTTTTTCAGGAGTAATCAGTGCTCTGAAGAAAGGAAAGGCCAACCTAGCACAGAAGTGAGCCAGATGTGAACAGTATAATCCAGTGTAGGTACTCCCCCATGAAATGTCTGTGGTCTTTGCTGGGGAGGGAAGAGAGGAAAGGAGAGAAGATTCTGAGGAACAGAAAGAAGAACAGGCAGTTTTACTTTTGCTATGCCTGTTGTCTCCCAGCCCTTTAATTCACAAAACCATTAGAAATAGAAGTTTGATCATCTATTGTGGACTCAACGATTCATAGCAGATAACAGAGCCTAGCTCTTCCTCCTTCTGGTTTTATATTCCCCCAAGAGCAACCTTAGAAGAATTTTAGTCCAGCTTCCTCATTTTACAGATGAGGAAACTGCAGCCTAGAGAGGCTATGAAACTTGGCCAAGGAATACTATTGTGTTGAGAAATGACAAGGGGGATGGTTTCAGGAAAAACCTGGGAAGAATTATATGAAATAAGGCAAAGTGAGCAGAACCAGGAGAACGTTGTACACAGTAATAGTCATGTTGTTACGAAGATCAACTGTGAAAGACTTAGCTACATTGATCAAAATTACGATTCACGACAATTCCAAAGAACTCATAATCAAAAATGCTATCCACTTCCAGAGGGAGAGAGCGTTGAGTGCAGGCTGAAGCATATTGTTTTTTACTTTCGTTTTCACCCCCCAATATATGGTTAATAACGAAGTGTTTTACATGACTTCACATGTATGACGGGTATCGCATTGCTTGTCTTCTCAATGGGTAAGGGAAGCATTGCTTATTCCTGAAAAATCTGGTGCATCACCGTTTCATTTTAAAGCTATGCTTCCTGGCGCCGACAATGACAAGGCTTCACGTGGTTGCTGCGTTCAGTGCAGCTTCGGCCTTTGCAAGAGCTGCGGAGCCGGGGCGGGCCCCCGCCACTAGGGACTGCCCTAGTCCAGTCCTCAAGCCCCAGCCCGGGTTCCGGGCGATCTGAACCAGCTTCAAGCCGAGCCAGAGGCCGGCTGCACCACACGTGGGCCAGACGCGCAGTCACGTGAAAAAACCGAGTTCCAGGACTAGAAAGAAGCAAAGCCGTTTCCGAGTAAAAGCGTGGAACTGAGGGCCTGCCGCGCACCTGGCGCGGCGCACTGGGCCACCCCCGCGCACACGCTCCGGCACCTGGCCCTGCGGCGGCCCCGCAGCCAAAGCTCAGCCTCTCATGGCCAGCCAGCGTCCCATCCCCACGGCGCAAGACCCGCTGGTGACCCCTTCCTAGGGCGCACAGCTGTTGCAGGGGTCCCCTTCCCAGGACGCACAGCTCCTCCGCCGGTTCCCTTTCCCAGGGCGCACGGCCCCTGCAGGTGTGTCCTCCCTAGGCGCCTCGCATCCCCTTTTCCCCCTTCTCAGGATGCAGTCCCTCCAACGGTCCCCTTCCCAAGGCGCACAGTCCCAGCGGGTGTGCCTCTCTCAGGGACGTTCCTCTCCCCCGCGCCCCTTTCCGGGGTACCCACGTGGGGTGGGGCGCTCGGAGGTGGGGGGTTGGGGGGTGGGAAGGAAGGCGGCTTTGCTTCTCCAGGCCCCGCCCCGCAACGCCGGGAGCCCCTGGTCGCGTCCACCCCACGCGCACTCACGTCCTCCAGCCGGGTCCCCGCAGCCATCTCCTGGGCTCCCGAGGCTGAAGCCCCCGCCGCCGGGGCGCGCTATCTCCACCCTCCACCTGCGCTTCTCCGCGGCTGCTCCGGAAAGGGAGGGGGAGGGGAGGAGGAAAAAACCCTCCGTGCCCCGCCCGCCTTCCCGAGCAAGCTCACCCTGACTTTGGGCACGCCCACGCTGGCGCAGGCCCCGCCTCCGTGGGAGGCTCGCGGCTCCTCCTCCAAACCCCTCATTGGTGGAGCCCGAGAGGCTTCCCCCCGACGCTGCCGGCCCCCGGAGGGAGGGGGGGGACGTTCGCAGCGGAGCTGCTGCGGGTCTCCCTTCTCTCCTATCTTGACCCATTGCTTTGGCACCCTGCTTTCTCCTTTCTAAGGTTCTGGACCCCGAAAGGCTAAAGCATCGTAGGCTGCATTCCTAAGCCTTCGGTGGCCTGATGTCCAAGCCGTCGCACCTGTTATTTATGTGCCTTTCAGAGATGTTCTGTTTGGGCGTGATTTCCTGTGTCTCCAAGCCCTGGCTGTGTATGTACTGGCTAGGAGGGCTTGAGGATGCTAGATGTAGAGCTGAGCTTCAGAGGACACCTCGTCTAACCCTCTCAGTTTACAAATGGGGAAACCGAGGCCCAGGGAGGTTCAGCGAATTACCCAAGGTCGGCTGGATGGAAGTAGCAGACCTGGAATTTAAACCTAGCTTCTTTGATTCCAAATAGAAAGCTGTTTTCCACTGCACCTGACAAGGTCCGGCTGTGACTTTTTTTTTTTTTTTACCTAATTACATAATACCTCAGGGCCTCAGTGTTCTCATTGGTAAAATGAGGGGTTTAGTCTAGAAATTAAGGGTTGTTAACCTGGGGTCCCATTAATGTATTTTTAAATGTTTTGGTAACTATTTCAGTATAAGACAGTACTCTGAAAAGGGGCATATAGATTTCATCAGACAGCCAAGTGGTCCACGATACAAAAGAGTACCAAAATGCCCCTTCTAGAAGATGAAGTGGGAGTATGCTTGGAGTCAAGAAACCTGAGTTCAAATACTAGTACTCTTGGCTTTGCAAACTTGGACAAACTCTGAGCTTACTCTCTGAGCTTCATTTTTATCACCTGTTTAAAAAAAGTGTAACACTTGCAATAACCATCCCGCTAATCTCTGAGCTTCAGTTTAATTACCTGTTAAATAAGGACAATAATAAATAATGATATAACCAAAATCATAGGACAATAGATCAGGAATTTGAAAGGACCTCAGAGGTCATCTGATTCAGTTATGGGGAAAATGTGAAGCATAGTAGATAAAATGCTGAATTTAAGAGTCAGGAAGAACTGAGTTCTAATCTTGCTTAGATACTCCCCATGTGACCTTGGAAAAGTCACCTAACATCTCTTAACCTCATCTTCCTTATCTGGAAAATGAGGGTGATATAAGTATGAGTTACTCCATCTCTAATAGTCTGTGATTCTGAAATGCAGCTTTAACGGGAAAAAAAAAAGGGTAGCACCTCCATTATCCTGATCATTAAAACGGTTGTTGAGGATTACTTAAAGCCCAAACCCCTGCTAGGATTTGAATTATGGAATTTGGAATTATGTAAATAAAGTGACTAAAATGTTCATGTCTTTTGAATCCAGAGATTATATACCAAGTAGGCCATTGATAAGTCCACATATATACCAAAATATTTATAGCAGCATTTTTAGAGAACAAAGTAATGGAATCAAAGTAGATGCCATTGATAGGGGAATAGCTAAACAAATTGTGGTACATGAATGTAATGGAATATATTATAGGAAGTAACAAATGTGACACAGAGAATCATGGACAGATCTACATGGACTCATGCAGAGTGAAATAAGCAGAGCTAAGAAATGACTACAACGTAAATGGAAAGAACAACCACAAAAAAGGTCAAAAAGTGAAAGCTGCAAAATTGGAGTAAGTGTGGCTCAAAAGAAGAGATATGAGAAGATACTCCCACCCACTTGTAAGAGGTCCACATGTTGTACATTGTACACATTTCAGACTTTTATGGATGTATTAAAAGTTATGGTGATTTTTTTTCCTTTTTCTTTTCCTTTTTTTGCTTTAAAAATATTATATAGGATGGCATTTTCTGGAAGGGGCAGCATGAGGGATAGTGGGGGAAATTATGATAGCGTTAAAGATAAGATTAAAAAAACTGATTAAAAAATAAAACCCTTTTAATAAATATATCTAGTCAAAGAAAACAAATTCCTGCATTTGCCACATATAAAAAATGTGTATCTCATTTTGCACCCAGAGTCCATCACTCTTCTTCAGGGGGTGAGTGGCATTCTTACTTACCAGTCCTTCAGAATTGTGGTTGGTTTTCTCCATCAGAGTTCTCAAGCTTCTGCTCATCTTTATCATCCTCAAACAACCTGAGGCTCAGGCAGGTAGACTATTCTCAATGCTTTCATAGTCTCACCACCCACTCAGTCTTTGACACCCCGGCCAAAAGACTTCTGCTTCGCGATAACAGATCTGTCTGAGGTTGCCTGCCACTGGTCTCTTTCTAGTCAAATTCAAAGGTCTCAGTTTTCTTCCTTCCTGCTTTGAAACTTCTTTAATTGGTTATCTTCTGCTACCATTCCATCTTCAGGTTCACTTATTTCTTCTTACTTCTTTAATTCTTCAGCTGGTTTCTCTTCTCTCCCCTCCTCCACCAGTCGCCTGGGAATTTCCCCCAGGGTTTATCCTCTTGTCCTAAGGGGAGGGAACAAATTATATGGTGCCTACTATGTGCCAGGCACTATGCTAAGCATTTTTTTTTTTTACAAATACTGTTTTATTTGATTCTCACTGCAACCCTTCTAGGTAGGTGCTATTATTATTCCCATTTCACAGTTGAGGAAACTGAGGCAATGATTTGCCTAGGATCACACAGCTAGTAAGCATGACATACAATTTCTTTAAAAGTATCTTTTAAAATTTAATTGTTTCTTCAATTAACAAAAATCTACTTTCTCCCATCTCTTCCTTCCCCAACATTGGAGAAAAAAAGAAAAGAAAAACAAAACCCACCTAACAAATATTTATATAGTTAAGCAAAAATTCCTTCATTATCCATAACCAAAAAGTATATCTTATTCTGTACTCTGAGTCTATCACCTGAGTGCTTAGATAGGAGATCTTAAAACTCTCAAAGTGTCTTCCAGGGCCCAGAGCAACAATAGAGCATCATAAAGTGCTCCAAAGGTCCTATTGCCTTGTAGCTGACAACACAACAAATCACACAAAGGAAAATAGAAAAAAAAGTGGATCTTTTTATTTTTATTTTATTTTATTTCTTTCTAAATTTAATTTTTTTTAGTTTTCAACATTCACTTCCACAAGATTTTGAGTTCCAAATTTTCTCCCCATATCTCCCCTTCCCCTACCCCATGAAAGCATGCATTCTGATTACCACTTGCCCCAATCTGCCCTCCCTTCTATCTCACACACCCCACCCCTCTTCTCTTAACCTTTTCCCTTTCTATTTTCCTGTAGGGTAAGATAGATTTCTTTACCTGTGTATCTTATTTCCCAGTTGCATGTAAAAACAATTTCTAACATTTGTTTCTAAAATTTTGAGCTCCAAATTCTCTCCCTTTCTTCCTCCCCACCCACCCTCACTGAGAAGACAAGCAATTCGATACAGGTTATACATGTGTAGTCATGCAAAACACCTCCATAACAGTCATGTTGTGAAAGACTATATTTCCTTCCATCCTATCCTATTTTCTATTCTCTCCTTTGATCCTGTCCCTCCTCAAAAGTGTTTGCTTCTGATTACCTCCCCAATCTGCCCTCCCTTCTATCACCCACTTTTATCTCCTTCCCCCCTACTTTCCTGTAGGGTAAGACAGATTTCCATACCGAATTGAGTGTGTATGCTATTCCCTCCTTAAGCCAAATCTGATAAGAGTAAGGTTCACTCATTCCCTCTCACCTCCCCCCTCTTCCCCTCCACTGTCAAAGCTTTTTCTTGCTTCTTTGATGTGAGATAATTTACCCCATTCTACCTCTCCCTTTCTCCTTCTCCCAGTACATTCTTCTCTCACCCCTTAATTTTATTTTTTAGATACTATCCCTTCATATTCAACTCACCCTGTTCCCTCTGTCTATATATATTCCCTCCAGCTACCCTAATAATGAGAAAGGTCTCATGAGTTAAAAATATCATCTTTCTAAGAATGTAAACAGTTCAACTTTAATAAATCCCTTATGATTTCTCTTTCCTGTTTACCTTTTCATGTTTCTCTTGAATCTTGTATGTGAAAGTCAAATTTTCTATTCAGCCCTGGTCTTTTCATCAAGAATAGTCCTCTATTTCACTGAATATCCATTTTCCTCCTAAAGGATTATACTCAGTTTTGCTGGGTAGGTGATTCTTGGTTTTAATCCTAGCTCCTTTGAGCTAGAATATCATATTCTAAGCCTTCCGGTCCGTTAATGCAGAAGCTGTTAAATCTTGTGTTATCCTGATTGTGTTTCCACAGTACTTGAATTGTTTCTTTCTGACTGCTTGCAATAATTTCTCCTTGACCTGGGAATTTTGGAATTTGGTTACAATATTCCTGGGAATTTTCCTTTGGGTATCTCTTTGAGGAAGTGATTGGTGGATTCTTTCAGTTTCTATTTTACCCTCTGGTTGTAGAATATCAGGGAAGTTTTCCTTGATAATTTCTTGAAAGATGATGTCTAGGCTCCTTTTTTTTAAATCGTGGTCTCACCACAGCGCACAGCTGCTGTAGGGTCCCCTTCCTAGGACGTACAGACCCTGCAGGTGTGTCCTCCCTAGGCACCTTGCATCCCCTTTCCCCCAGGTAGTTGGATAGTTTTAAAATTATCTCTCCTGGATCTATTTTCTAGGTCAATTGTTTTTCCAATGAGATATTTCACATTGTCTTCTGTTTTTTCATTATTTTGGTTTTGTTTTATAATTTCTTGATTTCTCATAGAGTCATTAGCTTCCAATTGCTCTATTCTAATTTTTAAGGAATTATTTTCTTCAGTGAGCTTTTGGACCTCCTTTTCCATTTGGTCAGTTCTGCTTTTTTAAGACCTTCTCCTCATTGGCTTTTTGGACCTCTTTT